AAAGTATTGTTTTCTATATCCAACAGTATAGAAAAAAAACAGGCCATGATGATGATGACAGAAAAAACAAAAACAAAATATTTTTCTCATTATTATATTTTTTCCATCGTGTTGTATAGTTAACTTTTTAAATAATGATTCACAAATATAGCGTCAAATAATATTTTCATTGTAAATTGTCATTAGATGTTACAAAAATGTCAAATTTTTTTTCGATCATTATTCGGTCGAAAGTTTTGCCTTTAGATAATTTATATTCCAACACAATCAGTTAACCAAATTTAAAAAGAAAAAATAATGAATAGGTATATGTCTAACATCGAATTCGTTCTGACAATGGATGAATAAAATTGAATTGTTCAAGCCATCAATCAATCATATACAACACAATTATTATTGTTTGTCTTCGTTGTTGATTGATTAGATGAAAGTGGAAAAAAAGAGATTCATTTATTCATGGATCATTTGTTTGTTTGTTTGTTTTGTTTTGTTTTTTTTTCGTGTATGTCGGCAATGTTTTTTCTTTCATTCATCTATAGTAGTTGTCTAATGTCCGACCAAAAAAAAAAATGCCGACAAATCAGGTTGTCACCTTATACAGTTATAGTGGTTTGTTGAATGGCTAATATCATTATCTATGATAATAAAAACCCTTCATAGACAATTTTTGTTTTTTGTTTTTCCTTATTAAATTATATATCGCTGTTGTTGCTGTTGTTGTTGTTGTTTATACCATAATGCAAAAATCAAATAAAGTCATCATAAGTTTAAATTTTTACATTTTAGTGATAGGAAATGGTATTTGCATACTTGTAAACGTCAATGTCATCATCAACAACATTCTCATCGTTCAGGTAAAGATCAATAAATAAATGACCAGACCAAATGTTTAAATTACATTCATTCTATTAGTAATTCGGTATACCGACAGATAGGTGCCATATATATTGACAAGTATTGCTACCAACAACAACAACATAAAACCAACAACAAAACCAAATAGCTATTTTGTAATGTCCACATCACCATTAGTCTCGACCAATACATATACCGCCAAATAATCAAAGTAAAAAAAAGCCGAATAATATTTTCATCAATGACCACCAACACACATTATACATTACATAAACATTTTACAACAACAACAAATGGAAGCGATTAGTTTTCGGTTGGAGAAAAAAAACAAAATGTTTTATACAATTCTTCTTTTTTTCTCCTACACCATTAGAATGAAAATAAAATCCTGCAAAAAACTAATCAAAGGTTTACACATGAACAAAAAGTCTCATTTGTTTCAAGTAAAAAAATGACATCCAGAATATAAAATACAAATGGTTAGGCGGATGAATGTGTCTGTTTCTGAAAATATAGTTTTTTTTATCAAGGATCATATCGTTTCCTAACTTGATTGTAGTCGTTGGGTGCCAATAATGATGAAAACAACTCATGAAAAAAATAATAAGAAAAAGAAAAAAACCAAACAAGGCGCCTTCATCTACAATCGACATGATCGTTCTATTTCTATTGTCGTTGCTGTTGTTGTTATCAATAATGATATGTGAACTGTGATATGTTTCACTTTTTTCTAAGATTATAGAATTGTTTTTTTTTCATTTTCACTTGTCTATAGTTTGGTTTGGTTTTTTGGTTTTGATTGAGTCGGATGTAGGGATAAAAGATTGATGTTCCCTAGAACACTAACATAACAGATGAAAATAGTATAGTGAACGAACCAAAAAAAAAATTGGTTTCCGAATCGTGAACTGAAACTTTTTTTTCCAGTAGACTTGTGTTACGTTAATGTGAATTCATTTTGGTGGTTGCGCCACACGATTCTGATGATGCTTGTATACAATGCTTGTGTGTGTATGCGCCTTGTTTCTTCAATCTCCCGAAATTCTTTTTTTTTCTGTTTCTGTTTCTCTATCTCTTTTGCTCTCTTTTTCTCTCACACACACACTCATCATCATCATTGCCTAAAATCGACGGACCGATCACGACCAAACCATTCTTTTATGTTAGTCATGGTGGTGACGGTGGTTGAACTACGAAGTTGATTATATTCTGTATGTGTATATGGTGGTGGCGTTGGTGGCTTTTCACGGAATCAACAACAACAACACTAATACTCAACATCGGCAAATACCAAAATCAAAAAAATCTTTGATCACAAATATACATAGAATTCAAAAAAAATGTGTGAAAACGATCGATTGAACAATATATAAACACATATTGTCAAAAGTATGTAACAGGGATTGTCTTTTTTCATAAAATAAGTTTCCAGCCCCAAATAAACCGAACGATGAAATAAAAATCAAAGACAGTTGAAAATATATGTGTGAGGATGCATATAATTCATACGAAAAAAAAATTCCACAATTGACTGGTAGTACATATAGTACTTTTATGTGTGACAGAATTAATAACACAGTAGCATCATGATCATCATCATCTGTATTTCATTCACTTTTATTCAGTAGTTTATATCCAGTTGCTTTCTATGGATAGATGTATGAATCCACGTATATTTATACAAAGTGAATTCTCGCACATCACTCTATCATGGATATTTCTTTGGATATTCCTTTTAAATTTAAAATTCAATTTTTTTCGTGACTTATTGAAAAGATAAAAAAAATAGCTTATTATTATTCATATGGGAAATATAATCATTATTCTTGACTATTGATAAGGAATATTTTTAAATATTGGTTATCAGAAAGAATTTAAAACTTAGAAATTGTCGAAACAATATAGTGGATGTTACATAATTTAATTTCTTTTTTGCACAAACACAGAATTCATTCGAATTGATATTTGTATCGTTCTATTTCTTTACAAATTTTTTTTTGTTGGTTTCGTTCTCGCGGTGGTTTCGCTTGGTTTGCCATAGCATCACATTAGCTTCTCTTTTTTTTCTTTCATCCTATCTTGTTGACAGTCTTTCCCCATTCTTTCTTCTCTAGATAAATGTGATACAATTTTTTTTCTTTCGTTTCTCTGTATTTTTAGCCCCCCGTTCAATACATCGAATCAACATGGGGATAGATGAAAAAAAGATAAATGGATGGATGAATTGATCGATGAAAGAATTTGATGCACTAAGGCTATAATAATAATAAACACAGAAAGCATATAATAATAAAAAATGGAATAAAATAGGAAGCAAAAGGAAAGGCGGGGGCTGATTGTTGTTGATGATTATAATGCTAACATCCATAACAATCTCTCATTTTTACTTCTCTCTCTTGCTCTGTGCATGACTGTTTGTATGGTTAAAATGGAATGATGGGTTTGGCTCTGCGGCCATCCACTAAAAGAGCCACATACACTGTTATATTTAATATATTATTGGGTTGGTCCATCATAACACACACACAAAATACAAAGCTGTGGTGTTATAAACAACTGCGGTGGTTGATATTGGTTGGATTGTGCGGCTTCTTGGTCTGCTGTTGTTATTATTATCAAAGCTTCTCTCTCATTCTGTTATTTTTTTTTACATTCAAATCGACAGCATCATCTTGATTGTCATAACCAGGCCTTCATCACTCTATACACCACATACACACAAGACATTTTTGTGAAAAGACTCCCTTTTTTTGCTTGTATATGTTCCATCATCATCATCATCATCATCATCAACTCAACTCGTCGGTCGGTCTTTTTGGTTTGGTTTTCGGTTTATCGGGTTTTTTTTCTTTTTCTTCATCTTCGGTCGTTGCGCTGCTGTTCGACACAGAAACACATAGATAGAATAGCTACTCATACGTGAAAAAAGAGAGAAAGAATAAGCAAAAGACTATTTAGTGGATATGTGGCCAAGACACTGTGGCTCGCCAAAAAACCAAGTGCCCACAGAAGAAAAAAAAAATATTCTACTCAACTAATTCTGCGTGTATATGTTATTTTATGTTGTTGTCTGTGTGCAAAGATAAACTTGAATGTAACGGCTTGAATTCCACTGTGAAAATGAAACAATGATATCAAAAAAAATATTTCATTGTAAAAATGAAAATTCATCACTTCAACATGCTCTAATTTTCTTCTTCTAGATGCCAATAAATTGAATTCATTCGAATTCAAAACAAAATTCATTTATCAAATTTCTCAACACGATTCAAAAAAAAATATTGATTTACATTTATCTGTGGTTGATTATTTCTTCAATACTTTCATAGTGGTTTTTTGTTTGGCTGATGAAAGCAGCAGATCAAAACAAACTAATTCGTTTCCAAATGTATATGGCATTCAAAATTGCTACCGTTACTATTGCAGCCAAAATTTTCAACAGAATTCTCTTTCGTTTCATGTATATATTTTTGTTGTTGTCAATGTTCTTTTGTATCGTTGGGCGCGAAGAGATATGCAGCCTAAAAGAAAAATAGAAATGAAAAAAACCTAAACAGGAACTATTATCATTGGCCAATACTGCTGCTCCAACTAGATTTTTCTCAATTTTCTGGTTGCTATTATTATTGTTGTTTATATTTTTTCTATTTTTCTGGTGAATCGACAGTAACGGAGAAAAAAAAGAGAAAAAGATATTCCATTCGACTAACCAACCAACTAACCAACATCAATCCGCATCTCTCTGGTTTTTCCTGTGGATGTGTGACTGTGGTATAGTATAGTAAAATATAGCGAAAGAGAGCAAAACAAGTTGATGCTCAACACACACATACTGATATCTTGTGTCGAACCACAACTCAATCAAGAAACTCATCAATTCGTCTCCAACCAACCAACGCCAACGAGCCATCATTGACGCATCACCCGATTCCAAGTCGTCCGAATATTTGTTCTGTTTTAATCGATGCGCCAAAAGAAATTGTCTTTCAATATTGGTTTTGTCACCGTTTGGATTCTTGTACATTTTCCAAAAACCGATTGTCTTTCTAATTATTTAATAGTGGCGGATTTCTTACACACTTATATGAGTGGATTTGTGTCGATCAAGTTTGCCGTGTATTTTTAGGCTAGTTTTATTGATTTCTGCGAAATAAATTCGTCAGTTCGTTATTATTTTTTTCTGTATTTTTTTGTGAAATTTAAATCGATTCAATCTGGCTTCATCATTATCATCATCGCCTTCTTCATCACCATTAAGTCATCAATATTATTATTATAGCAAAATGTTGCCATTCGAAACGCCCACCATATTTGAACAACTACCTCGATTCATATTTCAAATGCCAAGAGTAGTTACCGATCAAAAAGCTAAATTTGAAAATGATGAATTGTTTAGAAAATTATCAAGAGAAAGTGAGGTATGATGATAATAGAATAATATTCAATTTGCATGAGAATCAATACATTTGGTTTGGGATTTGCAATTTTTTTCATTTCATTTCATTTCAATTTTCTAATTCTATCATTGTTATGATTCATAATAAATTAAGATTCGTTACACTGGTTATCGTGATCGACCACTTGAAGAACGGCAAATACGTTTCATCAATGGATGTCGTGAAGGTCATACAGATATTGTAAGTACCATTTATTTGATTACATACACCCGCCCATTTTATATTCATAATTTAAAAAAAAAGTTACATAAACATACATACACACACACACATGTCACACTTGTTTATTTATTTTCTCAACAGGGCTCGATCTCTTTCCCTTTCTCGATTCACTTTTTATAACACTTGAAATGATATTCAAATACTGGTAGACCTGATTCTACATACATTAAAGTTTTTAACAACCATAAAAATAACAATCATACCAGACGCTGTATTCGATCATTGTGTCGAACATATGTGATATGTTCACATCGCAAAAATGTAACAAAGCTAGCAAAAATTATAGATCAAACAAAATCTTATGACTTGAATATTCAAAAAAAAATTGTTTTTTTTATTATTATTTAAAAACAACAAGATATTTTCTTTCTTTTTTTTTGTTTTGTTTTTCTGGTTACATTTCATTGTATTTGCGGCTGTTAAATATGATGAGCTTTTTCTGATAAATCTTGATATCATTTTACTTACTATCTGACTATTGCTCGCCATAGTTTTTTTGTTTTGTTTTAACTTTTGTTGTTGCTATCATCTTCATTCGTCGGTAATAAAAAAAAATATCTTTCATGATCATGACCATAAAAATCTGATTGCAACATTGCGACCACGAATGATGACTATTCAACTAACTTGTACATGTGGCTTCAAGTTTTGAAAAATTCGGTGTGTTAAAATAATTTTTTTTTGTGATTTAGATTTTTTTTAAATGTTATTTGTTTGGTTTCTTTATACTAAAAGATCTTCCGCCGTCGATGATTGTTGTCGATTAGCATTTGATTCTTTCTCTTGTCAATCAATTTATAGCTTTTTGTTATTGTGTCAAAATTTTTAATTTGTTTTAATGTGTTTGGCTATGTTTCAATTTTTATTTAGCTTTTATAATCAAAATTATGTTCATTATAATATTGATTGGTCTTTTTTTCTAAATGATATGTTTGAATGTCTTTATCATCATTGAGACAAAGTTAACGTTGTTATCGAAATGATAGTCTGGTGAACCAAAATTTTTCTAAAATTATTATTATGCATTACATTTTAGGCCTTGTCTTGTTGGTCAACTATTACAGCTTTGATTGTTCACACTAGATATGAGGTTGTTAACGAATAAGAAAGAAAGAAAAAATCTGGAAGTAATTATTGTCCTTGATAAAGAAAGAAAGATAGAAATATAGATAAGACACAATTCGGCGTTTTATCTGGCGTCACATAGCCACCGAATGACGAAAAAGATATTTTGCAATATTTAAAGCAAAGCAACCGGCTGTCAAGTCTGGTTGGTTGATTTTGTCATTTCATAAGAATCGACAACAAATTATGGTGAAATGGTGATACAATTGATAATGACACTAACAATTAACTCATCCCTATATTTATATGATCATTCTCATATGTTGAAAAAAACCAGAATCCTTCTCTAACCACCATCACCAAAAACCATCCATCTTAAATTTAAAAAAGAAAAAAAAACCTTATTTGGCGCATCATCGCTTGATCGCTCATCATTGAAAAGAATTAGAGCCATATATACAAAGTAGACAAATATAGACAAAAATGAAAAACAAAAACCTGGGAGAAGACATTTACTCAGAATCATTAGCAGCATTTTTAACTACAAAAAAAAAGCTGAATTTTGTTGTTGTTTATAATTGATGCCTTCATATTAACCAGACAGTTTAACAACAACAACAACAGAAAAACAACAGGTACAAAGATTCTCAGTATTTAAGTGTTTGTGTATTTATTTATTTTTTTTAAATGCTTGGTTAGTTTTTAACCATACAAACGTTGAAAAAAAGGTCTGTGGCCTAGACCATCTGTTTTGGGCAATTTTTTTTGTACATTGAATCTGTTTTTTACTAATTGATCATTGACATAGTGCACCACTACCATACGATGTTTATATATCGATACCATTCACCTTATTTAAATGATGGTTCATCTTATTTAAGGGTTCGGTCAAATTTTTCATCTACCGAAAAAAAATTGACAAGCAATAATAAAATAAATGGTTCAGACAATTAATGAATCTTTCTCCTCAACAAAAAACAAAACAAAACAAAATCCTAAAGAATAGAAATATCTAATTATACAACGATTAACTGGACTGATTTTTCGAGTTAAAGTTTCAAGCTAAAAGAAAATATCAGAGAAAAACCGATTTTTGTCTTTGATCATTGATGATTAATAGTTTTTATGGGTTAAGAATAAAAATTATCGATTGTAAAAAAATGTAAAATTAATTTTGTTTAATAAATCAATTCTTTTTTTTCCTTTTTTTTCTCGTTCAAAATGACATTATTTTGTCAGTTTTCTTTCATGATTTGTCAATATAAAAATATTCCTAATTTTTTTGAAATTTTGATTACTTAACACTTTACAGGATAAAATTGTTATTATCATTAATTTTAATTCAATTTTATTTATTTATTCAAATAGGCATTTGTATCGACTGGTACGAATCTACAACTTTTATTTAATCCATTGGCCAATGCATTCACCGGCAATGATTACTGTGATTTTGATAAGGAAAAAGGCAAGGTATGTAGTTGTTTGATTTGTTTTTGTTGTTTTTTTTTGTACTTTCAAAAAAGGGCGCAACCAAGATTATGATAATCTTTCTATATCAAACAAATAAAAAAATTGTTGTTGATTTTTCATTTTCTCAAAAAATTCCAAAAAACTGAATATTTAATCAAATGAATCATTGTTGATATGTATCGCCAAATCGACCAATATTATTATCATCACCAAACATACACACACACAACCCCGGTGGCTTGATTTTTTTTTCTTTTTGGCGTTGGTTGGCCACATCGATCATCACCATGATGATGATGATGATGATGATGGTCGTGGCCAATCATTGTTTATTGTACAGTATGACAAAACTGAGAGGTGGTTGATCAATGATGATCATGTTCATGTCTTGTCTTTTTTTTATTAAATACTGTTAAAAAAACACTATCCTATTTCAACGACTGGAGAAAGAAAAAATGGTTCAACTTATAACTAATTTGCATTACAAATTTTTGCTCATCATCATTATTGAAAGAGAAAAAAACAGCCCACAGTTTTACATCGATTTTGAAGGAGAAAACAAAATTATTATTGTTGATAATGATAATGATGGCATCATAGGCAACAATTTCAATTGGTATTCTTTTCTTTTCATTCAAACAATCAAAAAAAATTTGTTGTTGTTTTTTGTTTCGAAAATTGTGAACAAACAAACCAGAAACAAAAGAAAGGTAAAAAACTCTTGTCAGTCAATGGTATATTTGATTGTGTTTATGTATGATTATGATCAGAAATTCTGGTGTTAGTGTGTATGCATTTATGATGAGATAAAATAATTGCTCTTATTTTCATTCATTCATTTAATGATCAATCGGATGAAACCTCTAATTTTTGTTGAGTAAAATGAATGAAAAAAAATCTGATTTTCTTCGAACTCAAATCAATCAAGAGATGAATGAATTATGAAGAGCAAGAAAAAAAACAAAACGAAAAAAAGAATAACTAAAAGGTGACTAAGGCCACAATTGGCGCCGATTTTTACCCGTCTATAGTAAATGCCAGCAAAAAAACACACCTTGTTTAAATTTTTGTTTTCATTCATTTTTCAAAAAAAATCATCAATTTTTTTTAAGTTTGAAAATCAATGTTTTTTTTGTGGTATAATTGCCAAATAGCCGTATATTGTCTTTGATTTTTCTTTTAGGTAATAACAATAATAATAATGATAATGGTGATGATGATGATGATGATGATAATGGCCACAATGTTTTTTGGTGTTATCATCATGGATAAATTTTTTTGACCAAGAAAACAATGCCCTAAAGGTTTTCGAAAATCTGATATTTAAAATTTACCGATCGTTGTAGTAATTTTTTTTACTCTTCAAAAACAAGTTTGTCATTAATTAATGTTAATAATTAGGTTAGGTTTATCATAATGATCATTATGATTTTTGTGATTTTTGATCAGATCCTTGATCCTTTATGATTGTTCATGAATTATGAAAACAATTGTAAACATTTATTTCTTCACTACAAAAATCATTTATGTCTGTTACGACTGTGATTATATGATTATTATCATCAGGAAAAAAATAAAGACAGATGAAAATTCATACCCACAACAGCAACCAAAAATGGTATTTAGTTTTTTTTTCAACTTTTCAGCTCCAATCGTTTTTGTTTATTTCATTGGATACAAAACTAGTACCGTTTTCGGTTTATTTTGCTTTTTGGTATTTTTAATGATAAAAACAATGATGATTCGTCAAATATGATGATAATTCGATCCGTGGCCTCGTACTCTGATAATATGAAAAAAAACAATAGTGTGAATGTTTGTTTTTGTCCAAACATTTGTTGTGTTACATAATGGCAAACAAATGATCTATCATGTTGATGATAATCGTATGTAGATCGTTAAAAAAAACATTGAAATACAAACATCATTGTTATTCGTTTTTTTTGTTGTTGTTTATATAATTATTTTTTTCCACAACAAATAGTTAATAAAAAATGGTTAGTTTAGTCTAACATTTCTAACGATTATAATGTAACAGTATTGTTAAAATATGTCAATGAAATCACGTTTCTGAACATTGTTTCTATCATCATTCCGAGGATTGATGTTGATTATAATGGTTTTGATGGCGCCAAATTATAAAGAAGAAAAAAATTCAGATGTGCAAATAATGTAGAATATTGTGCAGGCGGTAAATGGTGAAGATGAAACAAAACAAAACAAAAAAACATTCATCGTTTTCCATCTGTCTATTCAACTGTCATTTTGTCATTAGTAATTTGTCACTTTTTACCTACACACACTTACCTACAAAGAAGAAACACTCACCTGAACACTGTTTTTCTATCTATGTGACAAGTTGTCACTTGTTTTGGGTAATAGAAAATATTAGATAGTTTTTTTCTTCATTAATTTTTTTTTTGTTATTCTGTTAAAGTTAATCATTTAACACAATGTTTTCAATTTATTATTTTCAAATTTTAAAAATTCACTTTTTTTGAATTTCAAGTTTGTTTGAAAACTGGATAATATATAACACGATTTAACAATTATTTATGCACAAAATATATCGAATGATGATAGTGATTTGTTCGGTTGATCTGAATAACCATTATAACATGGTGAAAAAATTATTGGTAAGCCATAATCGTTAAGAATGTATAAATGTTTGATGGCTTTGGCCAATTTAATTTCAATATCATCCATAACGATTATAATAATTAAGATGATTATAATCACAGAGATTGAAAGAAAAAAATATAGAAAAATACATGTAAGCCTGATAGCCAATTAGCATTTAATTATCTGAATGGTCTGAACTTTTTGTTGTTGTTGTTTAATGTCGATACCACTAAATATCCATAGACCATGACGAAAATAACGACAATTATCAACGATGATGATGATGATCATATTCTCAATTGCAAACCAGAAAAAAATTGATGTTAAAATTTCATTTTTTCGCATATTTTTTGAATAAATTTTGTTCATTTATTCTTATGCTAAAAATCCTCTTCGAAAATAAACATCATCATCATCATTATCTATGTTCTGAATATCAGAACCAGAAAAAAATGAGGAGTAACCATATTATTATCTTGTAATATTCTACAAATCATATTTTTTTGGCAATTTTTTTTCTTACCTATCCATTCAATATGTTCTAAATTTTGTTTTTTATTAGAAAATTTTTTTGATCTTTGTTATTATCAATATATAATTGTACTTGAATTTTTTTTGTACAAAAATTTGAATCATTTTTTCAATATGCACTGATTCATTAACAGGTGAAAAAAACTTCGTCTAGTTGAGACATTATGCAGTTGATAATTGGCCATGCTTGATTTTTTATGTCGCCCAAAATTCAATACCATGAAAACAAACACAATTTAGTGGGAAAAAACTATTATATCGATCATAGCGATAATCTTTTTCCTCTTCTTCGATGAATAAAGGTTTTTTTTCGAATATATCATAAAGATCGTCCTCAATTTTTTTCCATTCCAAATTTCAGTTCGTTGTCACCAATAATAATGAATATGATTTTAAACAATAAATGATTAGTTTAACTTTGAAATCGACTTGAGTTCATTGTTTCACACACACAAACACAGATCTTCTTATATAATCTTATCTATCCCAAATGTTTATGGGAAATTATTGTTGTTGTTTTTTTACTTTTGTTAATTTGAGTGCATGACATCAATTCATTTTTTCAAAGCTAATGAATAAATCTTACACTGAAAATGTATTTTATTTTTTCAAATTGAGGACATTATAATAAAATGGGCTGTAATCATTTTATTTTGTTTTATGTTGTTTATTTTATTTTTTCAATTATTAAAAACCAAATCCTGTGTTCGTGTGTGTTTAATTCAAGAAAAAAATGAAAAAACCGACAACCAAGATAATCGTCGTCTTTTTCTATTACCTCATCACCGGTTATCAATACCACTAAGGCTATCACTACAAAAAACTGAAAACCGAAATAAAAAATGTCATAATCAAGAGATGAAAATGCTAGCAACAGTAGCTTTAAATTTTTATTACTTGAGATTTTCATCAACGAATCTCGGTTCAAAAATGATGATCATAATCATTATGATGTCGTCATCATCAATTTAGTCATAAAAAAAATCTTTGTCCCCTAACAATGTCATCATCATGTTATCTATTTCCGTTAAGAATTTTCTATTTATTTATTTGCATGTAAATTTTTTTACGATCATCATCATCATCATCAGCTTTCATATCAGATGTCAGTTTCAGTATAATTGATTTCATTTTTGTAAATTTTGTAAATATGGTTATGATGGGTGTTCATGTGTTGTTGTTGTTTTTATTTCGAATGTGGAATTTTCAGTTTTATTTAATTGTTTTACTATATTATTACGGATGAAATAAACCATATACATGATGTTATCATTATGAATGAAAAGAAATTTGAAAACTTATAGTTTCGAAACATAGACATTTTCTAAACCATTTTCATTTTTTTTTTCATACAATCACCCACTACTGATGATGATGATGAATATAAAATCATCATCAAAAATATCAAAACGAACTTTTTTTTCTATTTTATTTTAGTGAAGAGAGGCCCGAGGTTTGTGTTTCCTATTTTTGAGTTTTTTAACTTTTTTTTTGTTTTTGTTTGTTTGCTGTTGGTTCGGTTGAATGCTTGAATTTCGTCATAAGAAAAACATATTAAACTATTTATTTACTAACAAATGAATAGTATGAATTCAAACAACAACAAAATAGAATGACGACTATTGAAACTAAAAGCAGAATATTTTCTTCCAGTATTTGGAATATAACAGAATAAACATCTTCTAATTGCATGTTGGTGTTGTTTTTGTTGTAGATGATGCTTTTTTCTAGCTGGTTCAAACGTTCTTTTATAAACAAGATGATGATGATGATGATGAAGGTGGTGATGTTGTGGCAGGCCATTATGGAAATTATTTTGTTAATAGCACCTTATAATTTAACGTTGTTTTTCTTCTTTCATTTTTTACTCTATTTGCTGATCTTGCTGATTATTATTCTGGTTCAATGAAATTTTGTCAATAATATTTTATTTTCTGGTATTTTTTTCAACTAAAAATAATCATATAAGATTTTGTTTTTTCTTCTATTGAACTCAAAAAATTAATTACTTTATCTAATGTTTTTCTTCGAATACGTGGCCTGGTATAAAAAATGGTTCACCACACATACAATAAAGCTGATGTTGCCAACTTGATTAAATTTTTCTTCCAATTCGAGTCCAATCTTAATAAGAAAAAAATATATGATTCATAAATCCTACAACATTGAAAATAAACAACAACCTCACTTTTTCCGCCTCACTATTACAACCATACAAATAATAGTTGTTTTCATTGTTTGAATTCGTACCAACTAACCGAATGAAAAACGAAAATTCGGCTCAAAATCCTGATGCAAGTGACTGATCCAAATCAGTTTAAAATTACTATCTTTCTCTATATTTTTTGATCAAAAATTATATAGTGGTATTCTTTACCCTACAATACTGAATGAAAAAATTCACTCTATATACAGCATTTTCATAGATCAGAATTCAATGAAGAATTATTTTGTTTCAGAATTCTTTATGGTTAAACATGGACGAGTCTGCGTATGTTTGTGTGTATATGATTCTTATTTCTGGCGTATTTAGCAGAAGCAGCCTGTATTGCTAAATATTTTGCCACAACCGAAAGACCAGATCGAGCAAATGAGAATTTTGTTCCTCTAATTCTTTCTGGTTCTTTTGTCTCTACTTTGCTTTTGTTTTTAAACTTCTAGATGCTTCATTCTATGATGATGATCGTATAGATGAATGAATCATAGAAGCATGGATAGATAAGTTGAACAAAAAAAAATGTGGAAAACCGATGCTTTCATTTTATCTTCTTTTTCTTCTGGATATGTTCTCCTTTTTGCTTAGGCAATTTATTTGGCTTGATCCAATAGCTATTTTTTGTTTAGTTTTTGTTAAGTATTTTATGTTTTGATGAAAGAACAATTGGTACCATGCTTTTGGTATTTCAATTTTTTTTTACAATCACATACTCTAATTGTATATCATAAGCATTTTCTACATAGCATATTGAATTTGTATCGCCCAAAGGTCAATACATATTATGGCGCGTGTCGGAAACAATTTTTTAAAAATCAAAGTTCAAACATTGTAAAAGGTCATAATAATATATAGGCTGTTTTTGATTCATGAAAAAAGTAGTGTGTTGATTTGACAATTTTTTTTTGTTCCATCATCATCAGATTATTTGATTGTCTACAAGCTAGAATCGAATTTCCAATAATAGAAAAATTATTTGAAACTTGATTTTTCTCAATGATACATATGGATGTAATAATAATAATCATCATCGAATGGCTTAGATTATATCTCGATTAATTATAGCTTTTCATTAACAAACATCAATCATTGCTGCCATATGTCTAATAGTATACGATTGAATGTTTGTCATAAAATAACTGTTTCATCATTGTTATGTGTGAAATAGTGAATTCTTTTTTTGTTGTTGCCTTTTTTCTATTCGTTTCCGTCAAATGTATAATTTGAAATCATGATTACTGATAACAATGATAAAAAGAATTGAATTGAATGAATGAATCTATCAGTATGTGACTAAAATTGGATATTTTCAATTTGTTTCATTTCCGAATCAATCATCATTTGAAAATGACATTTGTTATTGTTCATTACAAGCAAACAAAAAAAAGAAAAGAAAACGGAAATCATTCATTCGACATTGCAAAGCTTCCTGTTATTCGTTGATATATCAAATATTAATATTTAATCAAAATTTTTTTTTACTATTTTAAGGTTCATATCCGATCATCAATGATAATCGATGGTGTATGCATACGATGGCGTGGCTATATTGATCTCGAACGTTTAGATGGCATTGGTTGTTTGGAATATGATGAAGATCGCGGCCGAATCGAGGATGCAATCTTAAGACAACAAATTGAACAATATAAATTACGAATGAGAGAATTTGAAGAAAGACAACGTCTATATAAATTAGCACAAGCTGAACATCAAAAGAAAAACAATTCCAATGCACATAATGCTAATAATAATAATAATGCGACAGCAGCAGCAGCTATGGTCACGTCGGCAACGACTACGATGACCACTACCGCAACAGCAACAATAACATCAACGACAACAACCACATTGGCCACAACGACGCCACCAGTCAATCTTAGTAAAGGCGAGGTAAGATGGAATTTATTATTTTTTTTTCCATTCTTTCACCGGACAACATTTTTTTGATTTCAATTTTTATTATTATTCAACATTATTCTTTATGATTGTTTGTGTGTGTTGAATTTAATTGTTACACAGCATAACATTACCATATTTGAAAATCTTTATGATAGATATTCGATACCGACATTGAATAGTTAGAGCCACAAAATGTTCATCTCTTTTTGTCCATTATTAATGGTATATATAGAGTGTACTCAAAATATTACTTTGTTTTTTGGCACCTTTCTATCTCTCTCTCTCTCTCTCTCTTTCTTGTTGTTCATCAACAAATCAAAAGTTGATGTCGGAAACAAATCAAAGTTGAATTTGTATATAACACTAATAACTAAAATGTTGTTTGATATCATTCTATTCGAACAATTAACATGTCAGTGTTTGATGGTTGGTTGGTAGATTGTTCGATTTTGAGCGGCATCGATTGCCATTGATCGAACCTATCTCATCACCTTATATCCACCACATTTATATCTATCTATGTGTGGATGGTGGTTTTTTATTTTATTTTCACAATTTTTTTTATCCATTCTTCATCAGATTTTTTTCTTTTTTTTTGTTCATTTTGCAATACCGTGTTGATCGGAAATTGTACGAATGATCATTGATGATGATGATGATGATGTTCATCACAAACTCAGATGAACACAAATATAAACTAGCAAATACTGTTACAAACACGATTGAGAAACAATAATAAAAAAACACATTTTTGGCACGCAATCGTTTACATTTTATATTCGTTAGTTTGTTTGGCTTGTTTATTATCATTAGAATGTTTGTGAGTGTGTAAGTTTGTTTGTTGAATGTATCATCTCCATTCTTTCACACATATAAACATTGTCTAATTGGTTTGTATATTTTTTTTTCTTCGCTTTCCATGGCCTGAGAATGTGATGAGAAATGGAATATAAAAAATCTATACAACATCATCGGATACATTGTCCAATCGAATAAACAGAAAAAATGTGATGAATGTTTGCTGTTGTTGATATTCGATTCCCTTCGATTGTATTGTTGTGTAATTGTATGCAAACAATAATAACAATATATTATGATACATTCATATTTGATGATGGTGAACAAAATATGCATCTGATTTCAACAACAACGATGTGAACAAAACTGTTCGTGTTCTTTTCCCTCATACTATCAAACCAACGAATTTTACAAACAAACAAACAAAAATCCAGAAACTAAAAAAAAATATTTAATAATGGAATAGAAAAAATATATTTCTGAATGGACACATGGCCATTTCCCTTGTATATGGTATTTTTATCCCCCATTTACTAAGTTTTCAAACAACAGCTAATCAAATCACAATTAATCAGGTTTTTTAACAAGTTGAATGACTCGTCACACGTATTGACAAACAAGAAATAAGCAACCAAATCATGCTTGAATCTTTTGTCGATCAATTCCGTAAATCCCGAGAAAAAAGCAGAAAATATATTTGCCTGTATATAACAATGTCTAATAATGCGGGCTAATTGTATGCTCAAGTGACTTGGATCACGCGTTTGTCAAGGCAGACAACAACAAAAAAAATGACGAATGACACGTGCCAATTCTGTATTTTTTCCTTGTTCTTTGAAATGATTCTGTCATTATCATCTTTTTTTCGGTGAAATCATATCGTTTTTTTTAATATATAAATCAGTCGACATCCGAATTACTAAAAATGAATGTGTGAACGCGTGTTGCCAACGGCTAATGTTCTAAAATTTATAAAAATACTTCTTATACTCCATTATTATTATTATCAACATCATCGCTGTCGTCATGATGATGACAATAAGAATTGTTACCAATTACAATATTAACATGTCATTATAGGTTTATTATTCGATTCTAATTGAGTGTGAGATGAAGTATATGAAGTTAGAGAGTATGCCTATTCATGATTTGATTCAATATTTTTTTTGCAAACAACCCGAATTTGAAACGCGTGCATCATGAATATCCGTAACAACATAGCAATGTCATGACTGCCTAGATGCGCGATTTTTGTTTCTGATCCAATATCAAGATTATGCCAAATAGATTTTTTTCCACGAACATGTTTTTATTTGGATAATTTTAAAACATTTTTCCTTCACTGAATCTTATCATTTGTTAATATTAGATTATTATTAATTTTTTTCTTTATTTTTATTATTTTTACGTATAGCTTCGAAAATATCATATCGAAAATATTCTCAGTGGAAACATGTCCAACCATAATAATAATAATAATAATCACCATCCTGTTCACCATGGACATCATAATCATCATCGTAATCATAATCATCATCATAATCATAACCATCCCGAGAATCATCACCATCATCCTCATTCTCATCGTCATCATCATCAGGCTATGGTTAAAAAACATTGACATTACTTGTATTGTCCATTTTTTTTAAATTGATTTGAAATCTATTTCAAAAAATTTTTTTAGGCATCATAATTGTAAATAAATAAATGTCAATTATATTAATCTAAAAAATGCAATATATACAATGTCACCCAATGTAAAAAACAACTGTTATTAATTATTCATCTATTAAGATGATTGAATGTAAATAAAAAATAATAATTTTTAATTTCACTTTTTCATTGATAATTGATGATAAAGATTGGCTGTCAAAACATAACACTTTTAAAATTATTTATGACGGGTATTGATAATATTTTACTTAAATGACCCATACAATAATAATCGACAACAAAAGAAAAAAAACGAGCAATCATAACACTTGGTTAACTTTGTTTGAAACCTGTCTCATAAGTATCACGTGCGCTAATATTAAAGTGACCTTTGTCCTTTGTCAATTCTTTCCTATTGGATGTAAACTATTCTGATGATGTAGATTCCCTGTTGTTTTTATATGTGAGTGCGTGTGAAATCAGGCAACAATCATTTGCATTGCATACAGTTCGTATATATAAATTCCATATCGACAGATAGATTAGTTGTATATTACATTGTACAATATAACTATTGGAATCGTCTAAAAAATTTTATCAAATTGAATAATGATGAAAAAACAATCGATCGATTGAACACATTATTGAAATCAAGTTCTATGACTTGTGTGTGTTTTTTATTCGAATTCAGCGTAAATCGAGTTGATGATGTTAAATGGACTATTATGATATCAGGAATAAATAAATAAAAGAAAAATTTTCTGAATCTACTGGAATAATCAGTCATCATCATCACCCCATCATAAAAAATTTCGTGATTCAAAATTCGTATCCAGATTATGGATGGAAACAAAACACAGCATATGTCTTTTCCCTAAGTTGATTTGGTTACGCTGGTATCGGTAATTGTTTATCTAACTATATGGTTGGCTTACACTTTCTAATATTTCAATAACTTCAAAAAAGTAAAAAAAGAGAGATCGCTTAACAATAATTAAATCAAAACAATATAAAATATACCGATAATTCTATACATCAATATATACTATTTTGAGTGATGATGATGATGATAATGGGGAAAAAACCTATACGCGTCAGCTTGCTTTTTTTTGGCCAAACATTCAACACACAGTTCCAATGGATAATCGAATAAAACACACGGTACATTAACATTGTATTGTGTAGAAAAAAAATTGAAGAATGATGAAAATTCTCGCGCTGCATTGAACATTTAGATTATTGAAGAATTCCATTTATTATTGCTATAACAAAAAAATGGAATGCTAAATTTATATGGCATGGTTAGCAGGCATCAATAATTTTTGTTGTTGTTGAAATTCTTTATTCACTTGTATGTTTTTTTCCCGATAACTGAATAGTGATCATTCTATTGTCATCACATTGTGCAGGTGCACGAATAAAGTGATTCAGATTGAAATAAATTTTTCAAACAATAACCTTATACTATTTTAAGCTCACATTAAACTTTTACGTAAGTTAATGTCGATTGATTTCAACTATCAATGATGATTCAATGGATTTTAAGAATAATTCAATTATTTTTTTTTGTGCCGAAAAAATATGGATTTGAAACCCGGTGTTTATTTTTGAAATAGAAAAAACACTCTACTTGTTACTGGTCAAGGTGTGAAACTTGAACGTTTCCCAATTAATTATTCGATGTTTATTTTAGTTTTTTTTCTGAATAAACACAATAGTCATTGAATGATTTGCCCAACCCGAATTTTGTAACCTTTTTTAGGATCAAATTATTATTATTCCTTTTTTAGATGATCAAAAGGTAAAAGAATGTGAATTCCAGTTGAAAATATGAAAAAAACAACGCTGAAAATGGATGATTGATTTATGTTTTGACTGGTCAAAACATGTAATAATTGTAACTTTTATTGAAAATGTTCTCTATGATAGTTTTTTTAATTGCATCTGTTCATCATAATCAACTTTATTATCGAGAATTACTGATCATTTATATAATTTTCATGATAATTGATAATGATGAAAATTATTTTGTTGCGTGACCGAAACTGTCAATACTTTAAATATGATATCATTTTTTTTATTGTTTGATGATATTTAGGTCATATATTTTTTAATTAAATCTATACACAATGACAAACAAATAATTCGTTAATTTTTGTTTACTGTCATTTTTTTCATTACAAACTTTTTTCAATTCGCAGCTACCTGAAATTGTTAGAAAAAATTGCCTAATTGATAATAACAAGAACAAATAATAGAAATTATAATTTGTCGTTTCGTTTGAAAAAAAAATTCAAATTTAAAACGATAAATTCTCTTATTGAATTTTGTTAATCTTTTGTTGTTATTGATTACCGGGGTTTTTTTCCAAATTAAAATGAATAGAATGAAGGAACAATTAGAAGGCTCGAATTTTTTTATATTTCTGGTAGGCAAAACAAAACAACAACAACAACAATCACAATCAACTATCATTCACATTGGATTGGTCATTTTTGGAAATTTATCAAATAAAAGGATCAGTTTTCTTTCATTATCATTCAATCAATACCTATTTTCAATATTCATCAGATCTTTTTGTTCACATTTTTTCCCTAAAATATTGTCCTAATACAATTGAATGTTATTTTTTCCCTTTGATACATTGGCTATTGAATGTAGGTCCCAAAAAAAGAGATAATCATTCATTTGACCATTGTTCCATTTCCTATTATAGAAATAAGAATTGTACACAGCTGCAATTGTCATATTGAACGATGAATTGACGATTCATCATTACCATAAAGGCGAAAAGGATTCTATTTGATATTAACAACAAAAATGGTTATTGAAATTGGCTGGTCATAGTAGCAAGGGGAATTCATTGTTTTGACAGTTATATCATTTTCACATTTTGGTGAAAAAATAAAATTGGACTAAAAAAGTTATTAAGTCGATGAGTTTTTACCCCACAAAAAAACTTAACTCTTTTTTTCTATTTTGATTGTTGTTGTTCCTGCAAATATTTTTTTTTATTCATTCACTAAATTGAATCCAATTTCTAACCAAAAAAACACCGTTGACCTTGCTTTATATAGATTTTTTTTGTTGTAGCTAATCGTGTGTCATTTATAAATAAAAAATGATGATGAAAATGGTTTTACATTGTCCACTATTATAAGGTGAAACGACGAATATCAATTTCATGTGAATAAAATGATATTGAATGAAAGAGAAATCTTTTCATTCAAAGTTTTTTTAAATATATTTTTTTCATTGTTATGAAAATGGCCACAACGATACGTGTGTGAACAATTCCATTTGTTTGTCATTCTTGAGTTTTGATATGATTTTACTTTTTCTTAATTTCATTGACGTGGAATTGGTGGGTGAACAAAAAAAAAGTCAATTCATTTGCAACATTTATATTTTTTTCGATATACCAATTGAATACCATTCATCTGATTGACATAGTTTGGTCATTTTTTCTGGTCGGTTGTTGCAGTATTGTGGTATAATGACTTTAGAAAGGAAAAAATACTATGATATTTATACAACAATAATAGAATGTTCCGTTTATTGTGGCCTATCAACAACACAATTGATATTTTGACATTAAAGTTTACGGTGAAGAAAAAAAAATAAGACATTATGAAATTGTGAAAAAACCGGAAATTTTTCTTAATATCTTTGATTTTGAACATGTTGACAGCTTAACAATTATACTATGATATGTTATAATCATCACTGATTCGTCTTTTTGTGATTTTCGATCATCATTTTCGGGAGTAAAATTTCAATCGAATGAATATCTGAATTAAATCAGATGTAAATTTCAGCGATAAATTGGAAAATTACAAAATCATCAGTTATAATTGACGTAAGGATTTTGTTTTTTCTTTCTTTACTACTGTTGCAAGAGACTTAAGTTCTGTGATTATCTATATTCGTTTATCCAAACAAATTTCAACATTATTATGTACCATGATCCATATTTAATGAAATTTTTTCTTCTAATTAGTATGATAACAAATATAATGATAAAAATATAACGATGAATTCAATTAATGAAATTGAGTTATTCTAACAATTCCAGATAATCTTAGCTAACAAAGCATATTACAAGGGAATCTTATTTCTAAATTATGAAATAAATCTCATTGGGATGATCAAAAAAAATTTGAACAATATTTTTTGTTTTTAATCCTAGATATATGATATTGTTTGTTTTATGGAAAAAGTTTCAACCATAAGACTATTTGTATTGAAATGGAAGGAAATTTTTTCCTGTGGATTCCAATTCTTTTTTTAAATTTTTGCTTTATTCACTGCCATCTATGAGTTTGGAACATAAATTAGAGAGTATTTTCCGGAACTGTTCATTTTCCCAATAATAGATGGCAGTCTACCATGAAATGGATTCCATGAATACGGCCACATTGTTTATTCAAACACACAATAACGTTTGGTGTGTTGACTCGGTAACGATTTGTTTTATTCTTTCGGGGTATTTGATCTTAGAATGTTTTTACCGCCTTAATTCTGAAGTGACAGCCTAATTATTTTCATTGTCATAATCGATTCTCAAATCATCATAAACAATGCATCTCTATAACTTGACATTACAACGTTCTACTCATATTTCTTTGGCTGTCCATGGAAATTTTGCCGGCACTAAACAACAAGAAATTGCTTTGGCCAAAGGTCGAATACTGGAACTGGTACGTCCAGATCCCAGTACTGGTAAAGTATATTCACTTCTTTCCATCGACATTTTTGGTGTCATTCGTTCAATGCTTGCATTCCGTTTGACTGGCGGTTCCAAAGATTATTTAATTATTGGTTCTGATTCAGGCCGTATTGTTATTCTTGAATATATTCCTGCCAAAAATTGTTTCGAAAAGGTATGTTTTTCACTGTGTTTGATTACTATTAATATTACTATGTTTTAAAGGTTCATCAAGAAACATTTGGTAAAAGTGGCTGCCGTCGTATTGTACCTGGTCAATATTTAGCTATTGATCCAAAAGGTCGTGCAGTCATGATAAGTGCGGTTGAAAAACAAAAGTTAGTATACATTCTTAATCGTGATGCCGCAGCTCGACTGACGATTTCTTCACCTCTTGAAGCTCATAAATCCAACACATTCGTTTATCATACTGTTGGTGTTGATGTTGGATTTGAAAATCCAATGTTTGCCTGCCTTGAAATGGATTATGAAGATGTTGATATTGATCATACAGGCGAAACTGCTCAACAAACACAACAACAACTGACATTCTATGAACTTGATCTTGGCCTCAATCATGTTGTTAGAAAATATAGTGAAAATCTTGAAGAACATGGAAATTTCCTCATATCTGTGCCAGGTGGAACTGATGGACCATCAGGTGTATTAATCTGTTCAGAGAATTATATAACTTATAAAAATTTTGGCGATCAACCAGATATTCGCTGTCCAATACCTCGAAGACGTTATGATCTTGATGATCCTGATCGAGGAATGATTTTCGTTTGTAGTGCATCGCATAAGACAAAATCCATGTTTTTCTTTTTGGTACAAAGTGAACAAGGCGATATATTCAAAATTACGCTCGAAGTTGATGATGATATTGTCACTGAAGTTAAAATCAAATATTTTGACACCGTTCCGGTTGCCACTAGTTTATGTGTGCTTCGTACGGGATTCTTGTTTGTTGCTTCAGAATTCGGCAATCAATATTTGTATCAAATCGTTCATCTTGGCGATAATGATAATGAACCTGAATTCAGTAGTTCGATGCCTTTGAATGAAGGTGAAACATTTTATTTCACACCTCGAAGCTTAAAAAATTTGGTCTTGGTCGATGAAACCGAGTCATTATCACCAATAATGCATTCTCAAGTAGCTGATGTAGCTAACGAAGAAACGCCACAATTATTGATGGCCTGTGGACGGGGACCGCGTTCTACTTTTCGACTATTACGTCATGGTCTGGAAGTGTCTGAGATGGCTGTTTCGGAATTGCCCGCCAATCCAAATGCTGTTTGGACGGTGAAAAAACGTAGCGAAGATAAATTTGATGCCTACATTATTGTCTCTTTTGTAAATGCAACTCTTGTTCTTTCGATTGGGGAAACTGTCGAAGAAATTACCGATTCAGGATTTCTTGGTTCTACACAAACAATTAATTGTGCTCAAATCGGTGAAGACGCATTAGTTCAAGTCTATCCCGATGGCATTCGGCATATTCGTGCCGATAAACGTGTGAATGAATGGCGTGCACCAGGCCGAAAACAAATCGTACGCTGTGCCATTAATTCACGACAAGTGGTGATTGCTTTGGGTGGAGGAGAAATTGTTTACTTTGAAATGGATCTAGGTGGTCAATTAAATGAATATACCGAACGTAAAGATATGAATTCCGAGGTGATTTGTATGGCTTTGGGTGATGTGCCAGCAGGTGAACAACGATGTCGTTTTTTGGCAATTGGCTTAGCAGACAATACTGTTCGTATTATCTCTTTGGACCCATTGGTAAACAAATAATATATTATATAAATTTGTTAACCTTATCTATTAATTTACTTGATTTATCATCTAGGAATGTCTCACACCTTTGTCATTACAAGGTCTTCCAGCTAGGCCTGAATCATTGTCAATTGTTCAAATGGGATTGATGAAATCGGATGAAAAATCTAAAGGAAAATTGTACTTGAATGTTGGTCTTCAAAATGGTGTTCACTTACGTACCGTTTTGGATGAAAATAATGGAACCCTATCAGACCCTCAAACTCGTTATCTCGGTAGTCGTCCAATCAAATTGTTTCAAGTTTGTATGCAAGGCAAAGAATCATTGCTCGCATTGTCCAGTCGTACATGGCTCTGCTATTATTATCAAAATCGTTTTCATTTGACGCCCTTATCATATGAGCCATTAGAATATGCATCTGGTTTTTCTTCTGAACAATGTCCCGAAGGAATTGTGGCCATTTCACAAAACACATTACGTATATTGGCCTTAGAGAATCTGGGAAATGTATTCAATCAACATTTAGTTGAATTAGAGTATACGCCAAGAAAATTCGTCATTCATCCAGAAACCTATTACGTCGTAATGATTGAAACTGATCACAATGCATTGACACCGGCAACAAAAACTGCACGAAAGCAACAATTGGCTCAAGAAATGATTGATTCGGCTCCAGCTGATGAGAAACAACAGGTTTCGGAAATGGCTGCAGCATTCCTCAATGAAAATTTGCCCGAAAATGTATTCGGAGCACCTAAACCTGGCCCAGATACATGGGCATCATTAATCCGAGTTTTTAATCCAGTCAATGGCAAAACATTGCACAAATTTTCATTGGAACAAAATGAAGCCGCATTCAGTATGACCTTATGTCGTTTTACAAACGATCCCGAAGGATATTATATATTGGTTGGTGTGGCAAGGAAATTACGATTATTAGACAGACAACACTCTGGTTGTGAAATTCATACATATAAATTTGAAGCTGATCTTGAACATTTAACGTTGGTACATAAAACACCAGTCGAAGATGTTCCAAGAGCTATGGCTCAATTTCAAGGAAAAGTCGTCATAGGTGTTGGCAAACTTTTACGAATTTATGATCTCGGTAAAAAGAAATTGCTAAAAAAATGTGAAAACAAGACCATACAAAATTTTATTGTGACCATCAATACAATGGGCAATCGCATCTACGTTTCTGATGTCCAGGAAAGTTATTACTTTGTTCGATACAAGCGATCAGAAAATCAATTGATTGTATTCGCTGATGATGTTTTTCCACGTTGGGTGACTTGTACATGTACACTTGATTATGATACAATTGCTAGTGCGGATAAATTCGGTAATATATCGATCATTCGACTGCCGACAGATGTCAATGATGAAATTGATGATGATCCGACCGGATTGAAATCTCTTTGGGATCGTGGATGGCTAGGTGGAGCATCGCAAAAAGCGGAAGCCATTTGTAATTTTCATATTGGTGACCTAATACTTTCCTTGAATAAAGCAACATTGATACCGGGATTTTCCGAAGCATTGGTGTATACGACAATTTCAGGCGCCGTCGGTGTGTTGGTTCCATTCACATCACACGAACAATTGGATTTTTTTCAACATCTTGAAATGTATATGCGTTCGGAAAATTCGCCACTATGTGGTCGTGATCATCTCGCCTATCGTTCATTCTATTTTCCAGTTAAAAATGTCATCGATGGTGATCTCTGTGAACAGTTTAATTCGATGGATTTTAGCAAACAGAAAAGCATTGCCGAAGACTTGGATTTTTCACCAGCAGAGGTATGTTCAATTGAATTGTAATCAAAAAATAATTCAATTAAATTTTTATTAATTTTTCTATCTTATGTTCAGGTTTCGAAAAAATTGGAGGACATGAGAACACAATATGCATTTTAAATTATGGAATTTTCAATCAATCAATCATCATTTCAATCAGTCATTTTCACAAATCTAAAAATTTTTATTCATCCATATTTTTTAATGTATCATTTTTTTTGTAAATGTAAATGAGTTTGAAAATATATACCATGTATCAAATAGGAATCTATCCCTAATAATAATCGAATTTATTATTTTATTTTTATTATTTTTTTTGTTCGTATATGAATGATATGGATTAAAAACGAAGATTGTTTATCAAAATAATGAAAAAAAATCTAAATATCTTATAGATATTCAAAATGTTTTTTTTTCGTATTCAACATAAAGATCATCGACTTCCGGATGATTTGCTTCGACCAATGAATTAATTAAATGAAAAAATGATAAATATAAATCTATAGAAATCAAGCCTGACATTTTTTTTGATGATCGGGACATGTCAATTTATGCGAATATCTAATTTAGTACAAGTTCTAATAAAGCCTTGAGCAAATTTTGTTAATACTTATTAAATGTACTTCAAACCGGTCATAAGATATTCATTTCATCTGACAAAATGATATTAGATTTGGTTAACTGATTTCAGAGAAATGAAATGAAAAAATTCAAGGAAAATATTTTAAGTGTCAAATCTACTCGACAATAAATAATCTAATACCAATCAGTATTATTATCTATTGTAAACGATTCATTATTTTTTTAAATCTAGAAAAAAGACAAAATTGATATTTCCCAGTTCTTGTTCAAGGCTTGATTTAGGTGATATTGATTCATGTGTATTTTGCATACATTTCGATCGACCGATAATCATTCGATCAATATTTAATTTGATTTAATCGACTGGAATCGAACAGTCAAATGTTAATTCTGATTGACTGAATCTGATCAAATCGAATGATCATCAACATTACCAACACGTTTATCGTTGTAGTTTCCACATAACCGAAAGAAAAATGTTGAGACGAAGCATCACCACAGTAGTATAAAAATGAGAAGAAAAAAACTTTTCGCTATCAATCTTTTTCTTGAAAGCTATCAATCCATTCATTTTTTTCGATATGAATGGATCGTGTAGCAGACGAATAAATATCGATGTCGAATGGCTCGACATACTATGTCGGTCGTTTATTTTTGTTTCATTTGCTTTTGCCATGATCTACATTCTTTGGCTAGAATGGCGGTCATCACCAAATCCATCATTCGATGATGATGAGCTATTCATAATGATGGTAGTACTATCTTGTAAATTTTAAACCTTGAAGGAACCGCTACTCAAATATTTGTAATCGCCGTATATATAACGAATTATGGACAGAAGACAATTGAAAGTAAAAATAAATGAATGAAAACGCCTATAGTAAAAAAATAATGAAACGGTTCACCGTTCTAATAAAATATATATACAGGATCGGTCCAGAGCCCATAGTTTTGGATCGTAAGTACTACTGTTCTATGTTCAATCAAAATGGCTGTGTATTCACATTATAATCATCAGGAATAGAGCATATCCTAGAATCATTATCATTATAACTCAGAATACACCATGTATTAAATATTTTTCTGTTCAAAAATATATATAGCTTGATGAAAGAATCTCAAGTATCATTCATTTAATTCTTACCGTACAACAACAAATAGAATAGTATATACCGCTTCCTTTGAGCAGAAAGAATAGTTGACCGGTCGGTTGATGCAGAAGTTGTCAACCTTTTTTTTATAACTAAAAAGTTTCTATGATTGAAGTTTTTTCTCATTTTAGATTGTGAATCCTTGGGTTAGTTTATTCTGGTCTTCGCGAAACCATGAAAGAATCTTATTCCATAAAACCAATCATATAGATTGTGGTATACACAGAATTCTATCAGTATATCAGCAATAATACTAGCAGCATTCGAAATTATCGCGTGTGTCGGTGTTCCAAAATAATATTATGCTTACTAATAATAATATTTCGAATCGGATCCAAATTCTTTCGAGATACTACATACTGCTACCACTACGCAATGTTCATAACATGTTTGTTCATTTTGTTGTTGATCAAATGGACATTTATCTGGTGAATTCTACTGCCACCACCGACGAAATTATTATTACTATCATCATCATCATCATCATCATTGTGATGATTATAACTGAAAATACACACATTTTATTTACAATGATGATGATGATTATATGGTAGTGGTTGCTTCATTTTCTCATTCTTTCTTTTTCACTCTCAAATGGGAGCGAGCCAAAAAGACCTGAATTATATTTGATTTTTTTTTCTGGTTGAGACTCATCTTATTAGAGGCGAAACCACTGATACTCAATACGATTATACACATACAAACACTGTATATTTCTCTATGTTGATGATGATCTGTATTCCACTCTCTCTTTCTCTCTTTATGTCCGTCTGTCTATCTATTTCTCTTTCAATTTTTTTGTTTTGTTTATGTATTACTCTGGAGCCTTAATATTTCTCTTATTTTTATTCGTTATTTTTTCTAAATTTTCGTCGATCATCGTGTTGATCATGTTGATGATGTCGATGTTGTGGAAATAATAATAATAATAATACTGATGATGATGATGATGACGATGAAGATGATGGTTGATGATCAAGTGTCGCATACAAATGGTATCCCGTTCTTGTTTGTTGAACGTCTCCAATGGATGATTTGTATGGTTGTTTTGAATGTTGGAATGGTATTCAATCTTTGCGAATGTTGCTGATGTCAAAATTGCTGAATGTTTATTGTGTGTATGTTTGTTTGTATGTATGTGTATATATGAATGAATTCATCGAACATCGTGGATTTCCATTATTCATTCATTCGTTTTTTCAAAAACTAATTGTAGATATAAAATATAGATAAATTGTGAATGAAGTTCATGTTTAATCATCATCAACAAAATAATCAACAAACCTTTTTTTTTGCAAAACGAATCCATCCATAAATCGAATGATCGAATCCGACGATCTCGACGACATTGTGACAAAGTATTATTTTTTTTTGTAATTTTTTTTTGTCGATGATCATATTCACTGTATGATGATGAGGATGATGTCAAAGTAGAACGACGATATAAGAATAAATTATTTTGTAACCTCGAAACAAAAACAATTAGGATTGATTTCTCCTGTTAGTTTTGATTTTTTTTTGCATCAAGAATCTAATGTTTGTGTGTCTGTTTTTTTAATGGATGTGATAAACGAATACGAATAAATGTTTCTATCTGTTTCATCGAATAAAATAATGCATTTTTATCTGTCGGTTTTTCAATGTGATGTTAATTAGTGCAATCATGTCGGTTAATTGTGTAATATGTGTATTGGTTGATTGATTATATTAAAATGCAATATTAATATCGAAACAAAACTTCAATATGAATAAGGTATGTTTATTTTTTCATCAAATTTGTAATGATTATTCTAATTGAAACCATTTTCCCCTCGATAGAATTCGTCTAAATCTTAAAAAATTTGAATCTTTCAACAGCAAAAGAATGTATGAATAAATTCCATATTGGTTTCTCGATGTCGAATATATGTCTTCGAAAATTGATTTTATTTTGTGTCTTTCAGAACATCATTTCCAACCGGTCACAACAAAGACAATAAATATCATTGGAAACACTGGTTGATGTTTTTTTAAATTTTGATTTCAACTTGTTCCCTTATTTTTTATTTTTTTTTATTTCTCATTCTTACTGTGTTTTGTTTCTGTCACGAAAATTGCTTGTTGTTGTTGCTACAAAAATTTCTTTACATTTCTATTTTCATGCGTCTGTGTCATTTTCATCTCTCTTTGATATTGAATTTAAAACAAAAAAATCATTCTGCCAATTCATCGTTGTCATCAACATTGATATATGCACCATTCCTACAATACCGTATATACAAAAACAGAATAAAATAAAATAAAATAAAACTTAAACATCATCATCATCATTACCAACACCACACCCACCACCACCACCATCATCATCGTCATTCAGTGTTCAACATTCAGGAAAAAACAAAAGACTGTGTTTATCGACAACTTAATAAAGTAAAATAAGATTCGATCATCAGGACAAATTGATTGATTGATCGATTGTTTTTTTTTATTCGATATCTAATGTTCCATGGATCTAATCTAAATGTAAATAAATATCCATGCGGTTAGTATTATGCAATAAATTTTCATTAATATGATGAGAAAATAAAACATTTAAAATTCAAACAATCGATTGATTTGATAATAGTTGAATGAATCGATTGGTCATCGAGATTATAGATAAAAAAAACATTTATTGAGATCGAATTAATGGATGGAAAAAGAACCATTTCTATATGATCAAAATTAAACATCATTAAATAGAAACAGGTGATTAGGTTGTGAATACAAGTAGAAAATAAAACATGACTTTTCATTTATATTTGATTTGATTTGATTTTAGTCCGTTAATTTGCAAAGAAAAAAATTAAGTCCTGTGAAAAAAAATTTACCGACACACACACACATTGGTATCTTTCGGGTGTGGGGAAAAGGGGAAGTAAAAAAAAAGAATCATGGTAAACGAAAATGAAAGAAAAATGATGATAGAGGATTATCGGCATGGCCTATGGTGTATATTTATTCCGTTTTTTTTATTATTGCTATCTCTCTCTCTCTCTCTCTCTCTCTCTCTCTCTCTCTCTCTCTCTCCCTTCCCACCCCCCACCCCCCCCTCTCTCTCTTTC